TCCCCGTGCAATATACTTAGGTACTTTGTCAAAAATCAGTTGGCTGTATGTGGATGGGTTAATTTCTGGATTCTCAATTCTGTTCCATTGATCAATGTATCTTTCATTATACCAGTACCAGGCTGTTTTGACCACTGTAGCCTTGTAGTAAATGTTGAAATCAGGGAGTGAGAGGCTTCTACCTTGTTCTTCTTCTTAAGCAGTGCTTTGCTTATCCTGGGTCTCTTGCCTTTCCATAAAAGTTTGTAATTGTTTTTTCCGTCTCTTTGAAGAATGTCTTTGGAATCTGGTTTGGGATTGCATTATATGTGTAAATTGCTTTGGACAGTATTGACATTTTCACAACATTAAGTCTTCCTATCCAGGAGCATGGTATATTCTTCCATTTTTGTAGGTCTCTTTTGGTTTCTTATAGTAGTGTTTTGTAGTTTTCTTTGTATATGTCCTTTGTTTCTATGGTTACATTTATTCCTAGATATTTCATCCTTTGGGTGGCTATTGTAAATAATATTGTTTTCCTAGTGTCATTTTCAGCACTGTCCTTATTGGTATAGAGGAATCCAACTGATTTTTGGATGTTGATCTTATATCCTGCCACTTTGCTGAATCCTCCCGTGAGGTCTAGTAGCTTTTTTACTAAGTCTTTGGGGGTTTCTATATATATGATCATATTGTCTGCAAATAGAGTTTTACTTCTTCTATGCCAGTTTGGATGCCCTTGATTTCCCTATCTTGCCATATAGCTTTGGCTAAGACTTCCAACACAATATTACATAGGAGTGGTGACAAAGGGCATCCTTGTCTGGTTCCTGTTTGCAAAGGGAAGGCTTTCAGTTTCTCTCCATTGAGAGTAATATAGGCTGTTGGTTTTGTATATATGCTCTTGATTATGTTGAGGAATTTCCCTTCAATTCCTACTTTGTTGAGTATTTTTACAGGAATGGATGTTGGATTTTGTCAAATGCCTTTTCTGCATCAATCGATATGATCATGTGGGGTTTTTTTTTTTCTTTTTTCTTGTTTATATGGTGAATTACATTGATTGTTTTTCTAATGTTGAACAATCCTTGCATCCCTGCTATGAATCCCACTTGATCATCATGATCAAGTGGGATCATCATTTTGATGTGCTGCTGGATTCTGTTGGCTAGGATTTTGTTGAGAATTTTTGCATCTATGTTCATGAGGGATATTGGCCTATAATTTTCTTTCTTAGTGCTGTCCTTCCCTGGTTTTGGTATGAGGGCTATGCTTGCTTCATAAAATATATTAGGAAGTTTTCCATCCTCTTCTATATTCTAG